GAACGCTCACATCCTTTTAATTATGTTTGAAATTATGAACATTGCTCAACATCATGAAAATTAAACCTTATTTTCAATAAGCAATCCTGAAAAATATTTGGGGGTGCTTAACTTTTTTCCAGGTGTATATATCACACTTAATAATAATAACTTCAAATATTTTTTCATATCTTACAAAAAGTAACTAAAATCCTATTTAAAAATAATTTCCTTCATAAGAGTGATACTCTGAATGATTTGTGAGAGTTCTCTTCAAGAAAAATGTATGCAGCAGCTAATTATAACAAAATATTAGTTGGTAACAACATAAACAAAAAAAGGGATGGCAGCAGCTAATTATAACAAAATATTAGTTAATAACAACATGAACAAAAATGTATGGCAGCAGCTAATTATAACAAAATATTAGTTAGTAACAACATGAACAAAAAAAGGGATGGCAGCAACTAATTATAACAAAATATTAGTTAGTAACAACATGAACAAAAAAAGGGATGGAAGAAAAAGAATTATTTCTTTAAGGTGCATAAGTTTTAATGTAATACCATTTAAAGTGCATTAACAGGTATGAAATATAGAAAAAAAATTAGTCTGAAAAAATTTTCTCAACATATAAATATAACATTTAGTGATGTGGCTATATGAAAATTACTTAATAAGCATTACTTTTTTCCTTGAAAGTAATTTTACAAAAAAAATAAAACATAAACAAAAGCAAAACTGAAGAGGAATGAGCAAAAAATATCTAATAAAAATTAAAATTACAGAAATGTTAGTAACAGGTTTTAAATATAAACAAGTTGTACAATCACCTTAACCTATTTAATTAAGTTATGACCAATCATGCCAAAGAAGACCATACAACAGAAAGGAGTAATACAAAAATAATAGGATATGAACCAAACATGAGAAAAGAAAGAAGCTTTTTACATCCATCTAACTAAAAATACACTCAACCTACTATAGAAGTTAAGCAAAACCTGGATACCCCAGATGAGTAGATAACATACTAGCCTTTTTATCAAAAAACCTAGGATTGAATTCCAGGCACTACAACCACAAAACACAAAACTTCCCTGAAGATTGCAGCTGATTGGCAGTCAAAATGTAGGATATAAACTAGTTAGTTATTAGTATCTAGTAATAATAATAATAATAATAATAACTAATTCATAATTAGATATAGATGATTGTATGAGCTACTAACCTTGACAACCATTGCTATCTTTTTGTCTCAGTTTTAACATAAGTAAGCTAATATTACATTAAAATTTAAAAAATGCTAAATAAGGTTTATATTACTGAAGGCAGTCTGGATATAAAACTCGTCAGATATATCTTAGCACATAAAGTTAAAACTGAAAGGCCAATCAATGAGTTAAAAATAAAATAATCATTATGTATATCAGTTTTTGATGCATACATATACACACATAATATAAAACAATAACAGGATTGAATATTCTTAAACATTATGTGACAAAAAAATAAGCAGTCGGATAACTTCATAACTGAATATTTTTGAGTTGACTCGACTTTATGCAATATCGCATGAAATTTCAACTTAGAAAACTTAGATGTCATTTAGGCTTAAATCAGTAAATTATGAAGTGAACAACATAACAGAAATTATATACAAAACATCAAATTATCAGGGAAGATAAAATCTACAAAAATTGTCTTAAAGGTTTTAACCAATATTATTTAATAGAATTACCAATGATAAGAAAATTATTATTATTTACAAAGCATACTAACTAAACAGAGAAGCTTTTGACAATTACTGGTAAATACATTCAAGACAAACTACACATTGAAATATTTATGATAGTCTTTCTTTCCTTTAATTTTTCGATTTTATCTTTTCATGTCACATCACTAATGGTATATTTCTGTTTCATTTACTCTCCTTTTTCAGTTTCATCTTGACTAATCTCACTATTAGATTTTATAGTACTTTAAACCTAAAATTATTTTTTATACTAGTTTAGTCTTTTCTAGTGCCTGTATATAAATACTTATTAAACAGATTTAAAAAGACGAATGCTAAAAATTAGGCTTTACAAATTCCATAAAAATATATTTTGTATAGAGAAAAGCATAAAAAAGTAACAACACAAGTACTGAATGTGTCTTATTAAACTTGTGCATCTATCCTAGACGTAAGCCTTCTATTCAATTTTATGAAAGTTACCCAACATTATTATCATAATATACATGTCTTTGAAACTTACGTTATCATAATCCATGGTGCATATCATATGAAAGTTGAACTTTATCAATTGTATTTTAACTTTGTATAAACTAGCCTACAAGATCTGCTTACAATATGAAATAACTGTAGCTAAGTGTGAGTTTCTCTATTTTCAGGCTGTGAATGAGTAAAAGGTTCCTTACCTAAATAATTAACATATTATAATTTCCATTCACTCTACAAGACTGGAGGTATTGAAATTAGACAGAATTAATATATTTTTCATGGGAAAAGGGCATGTTAGTCTGAAAACTGGAAAAGTATTTTGTTCCCTTTTTGAATGCCATAATTACTTATACAAATTGAAAAATCTCTCACAATTTTATTAATGCTTATGCATTATTATTTATAACTCAATGTACAATTTAGCAAATTGTCTATAAAAATAAAAGAGATGATAAAATTTGTTATTACTGGAAAGATAAATTTTAGGAGAAAAAAATCATAATATGTTGAAAATATCACTATAATATAAAACTTGTTGAACAATTGTTGCCGAAATTTGTCATTAGTTTTTAGATTATTTTTATCATGTGTTTTTATCATGTTTTTATTTGTGAATAGACTGAATCACTACAATCTGAAGAAAAACATGGAGAAACAACTTAAGAGTTCCTAAATGTACAGAAGAAAGCATATGATGAACAGAATAGCTACCACCATTAATCAAATTGTAAAAAAAATTATTCTGGTAAACAGAAAAAGCTCAGAAGCAAAAACATAGAAAAAAGAAACAGTCTAAAGGTAGAGAAAACCTGTTATGGAGATAAAGAATAAGATAAAGAAAATAATGGGCATTATATAGCAAAAAAATCATGAAAATAAAGAGGTTCTTAAAGACTACCAAATGTAAAACAATTATAAAAAGTTCATGAATTTCAGATCCTATAATGTAAAAAAGTTTTTGTTAGCAAAACCCAGCTAAAACAAGATCAAGAGCATGTGGAAAAAAATAAGAAAATCATGTAAGAAAGTAGATCTACAGTAATAATCAAGAATCAACACAGTGAAAGTAGTTATGACAAGTTCAGATAAATGAAGTTTAAGGGTATCAAACTTCAAACTTAAATGAAAAACCACCATGGTAAAAAAAAAGAAAATTTAGTCTTAAACTAAGCAAAAGGCCCAAAACTAGAGCCACAGCCAACAATCCTTGTAGTTAATGTTAACACAAAGCAAAAGAACAATGCAATGAAAAATATCAATAATAACCAACCAGCCACTTTATTTACTTATAATTGTTTACTTTTTGAAAGTGAAATAAATATGTATTGTATTTGTGAGTTTGAAAAGATTCTTGATATTAAAAATATAGGTTATAAGTAATTATAAGGTAAATTGAAATATCAACTGCATATTATGTAGAATACTTGAAAATATCATTCAAAGCAAATTGCTTTTCATATTTTGAAATACAAAAGCATGTAAGTAAGATTGAAAAGAAAAAGTCAACCACATCAATCAACTAAAATAACACCATTCTAAAACAAAAACAAAACAGCAGCATGTGAATCTAAAGTAGAAAAGTACTGTAGCTAAAAATGGTCAAAAGACCTCAATGCATATACTTTGGTTGAATAAGTTACACTAAAATTATTTTTAATATGAAATCAGCAAGTCACTGGCAACCACAGTTGATACAAAGTTGTGGTGGAACAGCATGTATCAGAATTACACATTGATACCGTTTGGCATTTCATAGGCATGCACCAAAAACTGATCACTTTTGGGAAAGGTATGTAATAGCCATTTCAGAGGCAAAATATTCATACACTCAGATCATAAAGATGTGTTCCAATCAGGGATTTTAATTTTCAGCACAAATATAATCCTTAAACTTAATGGCATTGGAAAATACAGGTATATAGATCTTTTCAAAACATCTAGAAAGAGACAAAGGTCAGTGGCAAAAACTTCTATGGAATTAGCCATCCACAAGTCCACTCAAACAACACAGACTGGACCACCTCAAGCACAGTAACATTCTTGACATAAAGACATCGAGGATTAGCACAAGAGGAAGAAGCATAGCAACCAACAAGTGTACCAACCATGACCCACAACACCAAAGCAGTGCACCTGGGGCAAAATGAGTGAAGCATCAGGCACCCCCTGAACACATGTGTGAGGACTTTGTTGATTGGTTCAGCTCTACATCCAAAAGTAACCTGCTGGGAATCGACTTCCACATGGAGGTGGGATGATGGATCCCAATCAAGGGAGTGAACTGCATATATGTCAACACCCCACATGTGAGTACATCAGGTCGATTGGTTCAGCTCTAAATCCAAAAACTAAACCGCCAGGAACTGACTACTATGTAAGGATACGATGAGGGATCCCAATCATTATGGCAGCTCACTCTAAAGCTACAACATTCCCTATCAGAAGCATCTTTTTCTAGGCTTTCCGTCAACTACAGCAACAGAACACCACTGTCTTACTCTCAACTGAATGGATTTGTCATTGCTTACATTGTATATTTCTCATTAAGGATACCTTCATGAGTCCACCACCAAACAAACTGATCTGCAGCCTGTGAAGGGTGAAGCATGCTCACGCCATCACATAATGAGATACAAAATGCTCAGCATAAACCCCAATAAAAGGAGATGGTGGAAACACAAAATACTGAAAGGAAGGAGTTTCATGTAACATGGAAGGTAGAAGATTATAGGAAATTGGTGAAACGGATAAAACATAACAAACCTGGATAACCATGTCCAAAAAAGCCTACCAGAATCCATAGTAGGAATTTGGAAAGACACAGCAAATTCGTGCAGAGGAAAAAGGCTGTCAAATGCTTTGTTGTCCCAAACAGGTTCAGCTTGTTCAGAAGGAAGTTGGGGAACATCAGGAGAAGGTTGGATTACATAACAATCAATCTTTCAATAAATAATTGTCAATAATTCCAAAGTCAAGTTCCCCCACCTGAAGTCTGAGTAAATGTATTGATAGAAGGTACAACCTCCAATGTGGTAACTTGTACTTCAGAATTCACAATACAAATGAAAAACAAACACAAGAAAAGCAAAGAAAAATTATTAAGATCTGTAGTTTGGTGAAAAATTAAATAATACCATGATGAAATGAGGTACAAATAACAACTATTTAAAATAAGTAGGAAAATTCAAAATTTGAAGAGAGCACTAAAGAAAACACCCAAACACGAGTACTGCTAAACGAGAAGTGATAGTTGGGTAGAGTAGCATAGAGGGAGTCATGAGTCACGTGAGTGTGCCTCTTCTGTCATTTGTTCTTATTTGTATTACTTTGAGAAAACAAACATTTTTTTGTCCAGTAAGGGTCAATTTTTAACAAGGCACCTTACTTCCACTCACATACTTACCTATTTTCGTTCATGCTGCCCTCTATTTGTAAAATTTGTTACACATACCACAAGCCTGTCACTCTCACGTACCTCTCAGTTCACATGGTTTAACTGATTCACGCATACAAATTGCCATGCGACAAACCTCCATCAATAGACGCACCCGTGATAAAAACTGAATACACAAAGAAAGATTGTTGGAATTGCTACAGATAAAATAGAGAAAAAAAACATTTATCCAATGTCCTGGCTACATTAAGTGATATGTAAAGTATAGTAAAAGGACTATTAATATACTCAAGTAGACTTATTTCTTTAATGTGAATCATTAAAAAGTTGATTGACTATTAAAAAACAGGAGAGGTTGGATGAGAAAAACTTCCAGTCAAGTGGTGGGGTTAAAATGTGGGTTAGAAAACAAAACAAAATTTCTGTATTTATATATAAGTAAAAACCAAAATATAAAAATTTAAAATAAAAAATTAAAAACAAATGAATAATGATGATAAGAAAAAATATTAATACAATAATTCTAAAACTTCAAATTATGGAAAATCAGTGGTTGAGACCCAATGAAGCAACATGACTATCCAACAGTGGCATTATTTCCTTTGACAGTTTGAAGAACTGTTTCTTGGATACCATGAATAGACTGTCATAAATAAACAATTAGAAGATGCTTATTTCTTAATGTTGTTGGTTTTAATGTAATATACATATTCTCTAAAACTATCCACAATCTGGTAGTTTGGACTCTACATAAATGGTAGGACATGAAATGTAAGCACAGGCAATATAACATTTCACACAAATATGATAGTTGCCTGATTGTCTTTTGACAAAGATTATAGAATAGTGCAATTACCAGTTAAACTATAACATCCATGGTAAAAAAAAAATAAGCTCTTTCTCTACTTTTCACTGTTTCTCATCAAATCATTATGTGACTTTAAGATAAATAATTCCTCCTACATTAAATTAGGATCTGGTCAATATGTTGTCAAAACTTTATTCTTTCCAATAAAAAAGTCTTAATCATTTTCAGATTTATGTGAAACTAACTCATATAAAGCAAATAAACAGGTCTTTTATCATGTTCTATTATACTTAATTTCATACATATGGCATCACTATATAAAATATTTTAAAAACCTAAGGTTGGCACTTTCATTAATATTATGGACGTTATTGGTAGTTTAGAATTCAATTATAAAGTGCTTTCAACATCTAAAACTGTAACTTCTACAGTACGAATAGAATGGGTAGTTCATCATGTTGGATTCACTTCCTTATAAACAAGAGCTTTGATTTCATTGTAATAATTTATAAATTATAAACTGATTAAAAATAAAAAGCATCTAGTTCTGTTTATTTACACATGAAAACTTAAAAAACAAAGACCAAACTGACCTCTGACTCTCCTTCAAGTTCTGTCTGAATCAAAGCTTGAGCTGTTCTAAGACAAGCTTCAGTCCATTCAGGTTTATCATGATTTATCAAGCCTTGAAGGCAATCCCGTATGTAAAGTGGTTGCTTTTTTGATACAACATCGTGGCTCATGTCGTAAGGTTCTAAGTCATCATCACTGCATTCAGAATAAACAAACTATGATGAAAGCTAAAAAAAGAGCTACATGGCTATAAAGAATACAATATCAGTGTGGTATCTCATGCTCTGATGCTTTTCAGCATGGTAATTCATGCTTTTCATGTGAGTATATGAAAAAATGAAGTTTTAAAATATCTTGTCTGATTTCTCTCCCATATCACTTACAAAATACAATTTTAGCTGAAATTTTTAAACTTAGCATTTTGTTTTGATATCAACTTTAGAATATTTGGAAAAAAGAAAAAAATGCAAATAGCTAACCCTGAAATTTCACTTTGTTTTACCTTCCATATGTTTTTTTTATTTAGAGAATAAAAATATTGAAACTTCCAACCCATATCTATATATATATATATATATATATATATATATATAT